GATCTGCCTCGCCCGGGAAGAGCGCAATGATGGTGCCAACTTGGGTCAGTGAAGCAACGTCCTCCACAACTAGACTGAAGAATAAAAGGACAGCAACTTGTCTGGTCCCCTTCCCCCAACTCTCCAGCACTGTTCCCATCCCCCAACTCCCCAATAAAAATCTTAAAAAAAAAAGATGATGTGATACACACACACACACACTGGAATATTAGCCATAAAACAGAACAAAATCTTACCATTTGTAACTACATGAATGGACCTAGAAGGCATTATGCTAAGTGAAATAAGTCAGACAGAAAAAGACAAATACCATGTGATTTCACTTACAAATGGAATCTAAAGAACAGAATAAAGGAACAAACAAAACAGAACAGACTCAGATATAAAAGGAAAAAAAACCTGATGGTTGCTAGATGGGAGGAGGGCGGAGATGGGGGAGGAGGTAAAGGGATTGGAAAGTACAAATTAGTAGTCACAATATTGCCTCAGGGATATGAAAGACAGTTTGAGGAATATAATCAATTATGTTGTAAAGATTTTGTAGGGTGTCAGATGGGCACTTGTCTTATTAGGGAGACCATTTCATGGACAGTGTAGGTGCCTGACCACTGCAGTGTACATCTGAAGCTGAATAATATTGAATGTCATCTATAATATATATATATTCATATTCACGGGATGTGTAGTATAGGGATTATAGTCAATGGAATTGTAACAGCTATATATGATGTCAGAGGAGTAGTAGACTGGGGGGGTTATCACTCTGTGAGGGGTATAAATGTTTAACTATTACATTGTTTTTGTACACCTGAAACTAATAATAAAATACTATGTCATAAAAAAAAAAATTAGAACTATCCTGACTCAGTAGGGATGGATATGTGTCCCCATAAATTTCACTATCAAAGAACATAAAACACACAGACTCTGAAAACTTGGACTTCTTATATAATCGCATATGATGGGTTTCCTTTTCAAGTACTGCTCCTCAGCCTGACGCACTGACACGCCTCTTATTCAGTCAATGGCTCAAAACAGCAAGCAGAGCATCCTACCGTTTTCACAATGTAGTAGGCCATGGCATGTAAGTGCCGGGCAGAGGTTCCACTACCGATCACAAAGTAATCTGTATATTTCATCTCTGGAGGAACCTTGACCACACAAATGTCTCTTGCATTTTCTTGCCTCAGAATTGAAACCAGCATATCGATGTCAAACTTGGGACCAGTATGACCTGAAACACACAAAGATTTGCTGTGTCAGGTGGCCAAGGAGGCGAGAGACATTGTTTGCACCCAGAGATACAGGCCGCTGACGGTGAAACTGCTCCTGCACGAGGGGATTTAGATCTAAACTGTTTTGGAAGAAGGCAGCGCCCAGGCCTCCTGGAAGTTGAACTTGGGCAGTGGTTTCATAGAGCACTGCTCAACTTTTAATAGCAAGTGTGCTCAGGTTACAGGGCCACCATCCATCCTTTGCTATTACCACGTGCAAGGAGAACCATACACCAGCAACAAATGACTTTCTGCTCACTAGTGCTTGAGGAAATGAGCACTACACCTCCAACACAGAGCTGCTCTACAAAGAAAGAAAAGCAGCAGAAGTTGGGGAGGTGGTGGTATCCTAGGGCATATTAAATTAAATCCCAGACATAAAGGGTCACGGACCTGAACTTGTGAGCTGGAAAGGCTCTGAGGTAGTATCTGGGCCACAACCTTCCCTTGGGAGTTGAGGAAACTCAGGCCTAGCCAACTAAGCGTGTGGCTCCAAATCAACCAGAGAGAGTTAAAATTTTAATAGCAACGCCCATTTTAAACCCTCAGGTTTTTCGTATAAAGCCATTTGGGTTATGTAACACTTAGCACCTGTGGAAACCCCTTTTCTTTTTCTGTAGCGTTAGGTACTCTGTTTTTCACCTTGGAGTATGAAAGCCTGTACATTTATAGCTCTTAAGTTCTAAAACGGACTCCCACGGATCTACTGGCTAGTTCACTGGCACCTGCCCCTCGCAGACACTAGCCTTCCGCAGGTGTCATCTATTTGCCATCTCTCAAGTTTCTAAAAACTTGATTAGAGAACCTTAAGTTAGCCCCATCTCCTTCAGCGCTTCTTACACACCCCTTCGCCCCCAGCCCCTGGCTCCTTCTCGGAATCCTCACGCCCCAACAGTCGACAAGTCTCGGGACCCCAGGAAGAGTTTGAATGGGGATGAGGACAGTGTGGCCGATCAGACGCCTGGGTTTTGGAGACGCCAGTTCATCTCTTGGCCTCACGGTTTCTTAACTATGAAATGGCACAGAGTTGGCGAAAAAAGCCTGTGAAGTCCCTTCCAGCTCTGGATCTGTAAGAGTTTTGTGACTCCATGCGAAATACATGAAGAGGGGAACTCAGAGCCTCCTCGGCTGGGAACAAGCTCCCGGATGCCTGGAGGGGGCCGCCGCCGCCGCGTGCTTCCACGCCCGTACCTGCGGTGCCTGATTCCGGGCGTCCCTCGTCGGCTGCCCCCTCCTCCCGCTCCTCTAGGCCGGGCCCGCCGTGCAGGCCGCGCGCATGATCCGGAGTCAAGCAGGCCCGGCCGAGCGCTGGTCCCGCTGGAAGCCGCCCGGCGACCAGCAGCCGAACCCGGGGCCCCTCGCTCGCCGCGAAGCCCGCGCCCGGGGAAAGGACCCTGCGCCACAGCAGCGTCCCAAATCGCCGCGCCACGCAGCCGCCAGGCCCCATCGCCGTCGCCACGCGTCGACTCACGGGGCGGGGCTTAATGGAGCCCAAGCAGCTTCTGCGGTTTCCGATTGGCCAGTTCAATGCGGCGCGGCTTGGAAAATTAACGTCAGGAGGGTGGGCGGGACCAGGTCCCAAAGGCGGGGCCGTGGGCGGAGTGTGAAGGTCGAGCAGGACGACTGTGGCTCGAGTAAAAAGACCCTGGATTTTATTATGAGGGGCTCAGAGGACTAGTAATTACTTACTTTGCTTTGGCTGACGTCATAGTGACGGAAAACATTGCCCTTTTTTCCTTTTTTTTTTTTAAAAATCTGTCCCGGTTCACTGGAATGTAAACTCCACGAAGGCAGAAAATTTTTTTGTTTTCTTTTTAAGTCTTCACAGCGCCTAAAACAGCTGGTATTGAATAAACAGAAGTTGCTGCTGTTGATTAGACTGGAATTAGGACGTATTATTTTCTACCCATCGCCCCCTACCAAAAATATTATTAAAGTTATCTTGCAAATTTGAAATCCCATGAAGAAAATCTGTTATCCTGGGCTGATTGGGGTGGGAGGTGTAGTGCAAAGGACCTTTTGGAAAACGTGTTTAGTAGGTCTGCCATTCACGTACACTCCCCATAGGGACTTGTTTATGACAACGGACTGCCCCATGAGGCCCACCTCTGTGAGGGTAAGGAATGCTGAGGAGCAGTTACAGTATTAAATCATAGGATGTGAGAGCTCAGAGACCCCAGGAGGAAAAGTGACTTGCTCATGGCCATACTGGAACCAGAAGCTATTTCTAAACTCCAGGCCTGGTGACTTCTGAAAGGAACAGCTAGATAGAAGGGTACAAATATCCAAATGCCAATCACATTGTAGGTGCTCCAAATGCTTGATACATTATTGAATTTCATTTAAAGAAATAACTCCAAGCACTAATTTGGGGGGAATTAAAAACCACAGAAACTAATATAAGCACCTGTGTGTGCCACTCTTAAATATTTACAATTGCTTCAAGTAATTTTTGAAAAGAAGAATAAACTATTACAGATAACGTTAAGACTCAGCCTCTTCACTTCCATTTCCTTCTAGGCATGGATTTGGTTTCTCCCAGCTTTTGCCATCAGTTGCATGTGCCCACCCCTTTCTCTGAACATCCCAAACCTGTTTTACCACCTGTATTTGCCATCTCACTCAATGGGTCGTCACCCCCGCAAGTCTCCTGAACTGTGGGCTGCATTCACTCCAGGATCTCCCTGCAACAACTAACCCATTGTCAAATCCTGCTTATGCTACCTCCAAAATATTTTCTGAATTAAACTTCTTGTCTGCATCCCCACTGTTTCTTCCTTAGTCCAAGCCCTCGTTCACTCTTGCCTACTTACTGAGACAGCCTCCTACCTGGCTCTCGTGGCTCCAGCCCATCTCTAGTTTTTCCACCCTCCATGCTGCCATGGCTGCCATTTAGAATTATTTTAGCCTTCCCTGCTTTTTGGTGTTTTCCAAACACACCATGATCTTTCAATGCTGAGCTCTGCACATGCTATTCTTATTTTTTTTAGAGCACCCCACTTCCACCTTTTCACATGACTGCCTTGGACTCACTGTGTAAGACCTACCTTAAACATTAAGACATCTCCCTTTGCTTTCTCAGATGGTCCTTCAGAAACCTGTCACCCATTTGCTTGTACATATGTCAGGATGCAGCAGTTCTGTCTAAATAAAAATGGAAGGGTTTACTTTGCCCTTTGTTTTTTACAAAATGTGATTCCTTTGGTTTCCTAAGAAGTAGGCTCCTGCTGCAGGCTCCCTGACTTGAGCTGCCCTCTTTTTGCCCCCATTTGTCCTCTTGAGGGTATTGAATTAACATGATTATTATCAAACTAAGATCCAAACAGTTCTTTTAAGGGGGCACATTGCAAAAATGTTAGAGTAGCAACAGCTGTGATGAGACAGCCTAATGTTGGGCAGATCAGAGTGGCCTGCACTGATTATAAAACACTAAATTCAAGGGAATTCTAAATTAAAAGGATCCCAGTTGAGAAGATGTCTAAGCCAGTGTTCTCTTTCAAAGATACCTACCTGCCTCCACTTTTCTTTCTCCGTGAAAGGTTCAGATTCCAGGCTGCACAGGCAATGACAGCTGGGAAAACACTCGACAAAATGTGCTTTCAGCTGCCTCAAGAGCCCACGTGAAGGCTTTTCCTTTGCTAGAAGATGTAAATGACTTGAACTCTGCTTTGCTTTGCTTTTGTTTCCATACTGGGTCCCCTCTACTAAGTGACCACATTAAGAATGGTTTCTCTGGGCCGGCCGAGTGGTGCGATGGTTAAGAACTGGCTTGGGACGCCAGAGGGCCGCGGTTCGGATCCCACATATGAGGGCCAGTGACACTGCCCTCCACAGCTAAGATGCTGAACAACAGCTCAACCTGGAGCTGGGCTGCTGTGGGTCGCTGGCGACGGCGTAGACTGCAGCCCCTGTGGCAGTGGGTTGCCATGGGCTACCGTGTGTAGCCAGCAGCCAGTGTGAGCGGCCAGCAGCCAGTGTGAGCGGCCAGCAGCCGCAGTGAGCGGCCGTCCAGAAGCCAGCGACTGATCTGCCTCGCCCGGGAAGAGCGCAATGATGGTGCCAACTTGGGCCAGTGAAGCAACGTCCTCCACAACTAGACTGAAGAATAAAAGGACAGCAACTTGTCTGTTCTCCTTACCCCAATTTCCCATCCCCCAATTCCCCAATAAAAATCTTTAAAAAAAAAAAAAAGAATGGTTTCTCTGATAGTGACAGTTGAAATGTCCAGTTCTTTTTTTTAATAAGTATGAAATGATTTTTTTTCAATTACAATTGACATGCAATATTATTTTATATTAGTTTCAGGCGTACTAATAGTGGATATTAGTGGTTAGACATTTATATAATTTACCAAGTAAATGTCTGTTTCTTGATCCATGATTTTCTGAGTCCCCTACCCATATGATTACAGAGACTGCTCATAGAAGCTACCATGGATTTGGGTGTTAGGAGTTTTGACTAGAACAATTCCTCTACATGTAGCAGTAAATCATGTGAGAAAATCCTAAAGACCTGGAGTTTGTGGGATTTTAAATATAATAGTAGGTAACCAGCAAGTTGCCTTGAAGTAGTCATTTAATGATTATTGAATTGAGTTACATGGCTTCAAAGGGTTTCTGTGCCAAAAAGGGACCAACAAGGCACATTAGCAACAGCACAGAGCCTAAGACCCAGTTTTTGGCTTCACTGGGCTTAACATGTAGAGGGGGGAAAAAAGATACAAACATGTGAAATAGGAAAGTAACAAGAAATATTTAAATAATAGTATATACCACAATGGCATGCTGCATTTTAAAACATGGCTCTAAATCCTTTGACACTTTTCTCATTGAAAGGTGGGGGTCTATCTCCCCTCCCCTTAAATCTGGATAGGCTTGTGTTTCATCCAATGAAACATGGCTGAAGGGACACTCTGTGACACGAGAAGCTAGATTTAAAAAGGGTATGCCGCTTCCGCCTGGCTTTTTTGAATTGTCTCTCTTGGAATGTTCCCTCCCAGGACCCAAATGCCATGTTGTGAGAAGTCCAAGACGGACGGAGAGGTCACATATATGTGCTCTGGTCAACTGTCCCAGCTGAGCCCAGCCTTTGATTCTTCCCAGCCAAGGCCCCAGACACTGTGGAGGAGAAACAGGCCATCCTTGCTGTGCCCTGTCCAAATCCCTACCCCACAGGCTCTGTGGACACAGATAAAGCAGTTATTTTACACCCCCAAGTTGGGGGTGATTTTAAATAGTAGGGAACCAGCAAGTTGACTTGAAGTAGCCATTACATAGCCAGAGTAACTGGCACCCACCTCAATTCCTAACAAGCCCTTCGGATTGTATTACAGAAGTTCAGCAGAGAGCCCAACATAGATTCCTCAATAAACATTTTGTTGAGAACATGTTGAAAACAGAGAAGAAAACACTTTATGCTGGAGGGAGAGGAGAAGCGTGGAGAGAACAGTGGCAGCCCCAAGGCTGGAGGCAGGCAAGGGACGTGTGTGCTTCTAGGTGGAGTGAATACACCAAACGGCCAGCAGGGGGGGTCCCGGCGGGAAGTATGGCGCTATGAGGGTAGAAAGGAAGGTTGGTGCCAGGCTGCAGAGTGACTGTATCGCTTTTTCAATCTTGACAAACACATGAGGGACTATCATATATAGGTCGTGGTCCCAAACATAGGGCCCCAGGCATTCATTGTCACACCAAGCTACCATTCAGTCCTCAAATGAACAAAAGGTACCTGATTATTTACAGGTGCAGGCTTCCCCACGTCCTTGGATGCCACATCGAAGAGTTTGGATTTTCCCTGTGACAGGGGAGGACTTCTTAATACTAGCTTAAAAACCCCAAAGTTATCATTTAAAAGATGGCCCTTGAAGGAGTGAGCAGTATAAATATGGAGAGAGAGAGAGACGGAGGGGAGGGTGGGGGGAGAGAGAGAGATTTGGAGGCCGTTATTATAATCCAGGTCTGAAAAATGTTACAGAGGAAAGGACAGAGATGTTGTTTTTTAAAAAAGAATTAAAAGTGTTTATTATTTAAAGCAGCGGTTCTCAGCCTGTGGGTTGTGACCCCTTTGGGGGTTGAACGACCTTTTCACAGGGGTCACCTAAGACCATCAGAAAACAAAAAGACATTTATATTACGATTCATAACAGTAGCAAAATTACAGTTCTAGAGTAGCAATGAAAATAATTTTATGGTTGGGGGTCACCACAACGTGAGGAACTGTATTAAGGGGTTGCGGCGTTAGGAAGGTTGAGAACCGCAGATTTAAAGGGTCATGTAAGAGGGTTCATCATTTAGGCATATTTTTAAGGGCATCCTCAGGGAGAAATGGTGTAGATGAGCACATTCCCAATACTCTGTCCAATAACCTCATGGGATTGCTTATGGGAACCTCAGGCTGGGCTGGAATCGAAACATCACTGTCTGTAAAGCCAGGTGTCCCCTCAGGGCGTGTTCGATATCCCTGGGGCTCAGGACTAATGGGTGAGTAGCTATTTTCACACAGTATTAAAATGAAGGAAGGCAGCAGCTGGCAGCTTTGAAACACAGCTCAGTCTTCTGTTTTCCCAGTGCAGCTTTCGGCCATGGCCCTGAGAAGGGGTCAGTGACGGTGGAATGCATCCATGGCTACCTCTCATCCGGGGTGACAGAAGGGACGTTCTCTCATTTTATAGATGAAGTGAAGTACATTTTGGGGGTTAACCATCAACAGTCACTATGAATCCACTCAGAAATAACATCTTTAAGTTGGAGGGTGGATTTTGTAGGAAAAGGCGTAGAGGTCAGGGCTTGGAGTTTCAAAGCTCTAGAGTCTAGACAGTTTGGAATGGAATCTCTTAAATTGCATTCCTATTAGGTAGTTCAGACCACACGTGAGGAATGGAAAGACTGTTCGTAACTCACTCCTTTAAAATGTTACAAAAATTTCCAACATATAGAATAGTTGAGAGAAAAACAATACCGAGATTTAGCAAATCTTCATTTTGCTATATTTACTTTAAAAGTAAAATGTGGATTCAGCTAACGCCCCCCTCACAACCCTCTCTAATCCCAGGCCTCCCTCCATTGTCAGTGATAAGCTCCCCTGAATTTGATGTGTACCATTCCCGTGGGTGTTTCTATTGTTTAACTTCCTGTGTATGCATAAACAGTTTAATGTATTGTTTTAAATGTTTCTAAATTTTACCTAAATATTATCACACTGTACCCATGGCCTGTTGTTGACACATCTTTGCTCTTTTCGTTAGCATTTCCCCAGTGGCAAGTGTGGTTGGATAGCTCTTCATATGGGGATTTCCTCTTTCGTGGGTTGTTTGTTCGCAAACCTTTGCCAGTTTTTTTTCTTAGTGAGTTGTCTTTATTTTAAAATTCTTTTTAGAAGTTCTTTTCTTCTACTTAAAAAATAAGTAATACTTGAAAACTACCAAAGAATACATCTAGCATGTAGATCAAATAGAATAATAAAACAAACCTACCAGTCAGTTGAAGCAATAAAACATGGCCAGCTCTTTGAAACCCAGAAGAATTGCCGCTCCCTCAGCACCCCACCCTCCCCAGGGGCAACTGCTTTGCTGAATTTCACATAGTAATTCTTTAGTCTCCTTTTCTACAGGCTTATTACATGTGTTTGTATATATTCCCATATTGTTTGGTTTCCCATGCTTCTGAATACGTTACATAAAATATATCAGATTGTATGTATTCTTTGGCAACTTGCTTTTTTCGGTCAGTATTACATTAGTGAATCTTTCCTCTTGGCGTTTATAGCTGGAGGTTTGTTCATTTTCACTAATAATTAGTATTCCATTGTATATCCCAACTGACTGATCCATTCTACTGCTGAGGGACATTTGCGTTGTTCCTCATGGCTGTTCTGAATGTGCTTGTCCGTGTCCCCTGGAGCACATACATGTGCAGGGTTTCTCTGTGGCACCCTACACCTGGGAGTGAGATTGCTGGATCATAGTATATGCATCTTGAACTTCACCAGATATTGCCGGACTGTTTCCCAAAACCATTGTCTCAGTTTAAACTCCCATCAGCAAAGTATACTTGTTCCAGCGTTATCATTTTTGCCAACACTCGAGTCTATCAGATTTTTTTTTCCACTTTGCCAATCTGGTGTGTGTGAAATGATGTCTCATTGTGTGATGACTTGCATTTCCCTAACAATTTTTTATATCATCTGGGCATTAATCTGTTATCAGTTACATGTATTGAAATTATTTTCTTCCAGTCTGTGCCTTTTCATTTTTCATCAACTTTATTGAGGTGTATTTATGTAAAATAAATATAACCAATTTTAACCCTAAAATTTGATGATGTTTGACAAGTGTATACAGTTGTGTAATCACTACAATTATCGTATAAAATGTTTCCTTGCCCCCAAAAGTTCCCTTGTGCCCCAGTCAATCCCTTCCCCTGACTTGTAGTCAAAGGCAAGCGTGGATCTGCCCTCAGTCACAGTAGTTTTGCCTTTTGCAGAATATCATATAAACAGACTTATCCAGTATGTCTGGTTTCTTTCATCTAGCATAATGCTTTTGAGATTTATCCATGTTGTGCCATCTATCAATAGTTTGTTCTTTTTTATTGTCAAGTAGTATTTCATTATACAGACATGTGACATTTGTTTATCCAGTCACCAGTAGATGGAAATTTAGGCTGTTTCTAGTCTGTGCTATTACCGAAAACATTATTATGAACATTTAGAAACAAGTCATTGTATGAATCTATGTCTTAATTTCTCTTGGGTAAATCCCTAGGAGCAGAAGGGCCAAGTCATGTGGTATGTGTATATTTACCTTATAAGAACCTGCCAAACTGTTTCAAACTGCTGAGTTTTTTCGTATCTTGCACTTCCACCAGCAGCATATGAGAATTCTGTAGAGTTTTTTTTCCCTCAAACAAGAAGTTTGTGGTGTCTTTTTCATACACAACTTTAAAATTGTAACATAATCTGATATATCAACCTTTTTCTTTATAGCTGGTGTTTTTGGGATTTATGAAATTTTTCATCACTTGGTTCTTCATGTTGTGATACCACCATTTGTAATCTCTCCTGAGAGAATTATTAGGTTTTTGTTTTCCTCAGAAAGTCTATTTTGACATTTCCCCATAGCAGTTCACAGGCACTGTACACTTAACTTACTATGTCCCATAATACAGCATTTGCTGTCATTACAGAATAATGTAACATGAGATTGAGGCTAAGAGCTCAAAGCACTCAATTAAGAAAATTACATTTCATGTAATTGAAAGTCTCTGAAGAATTGTTGTTTTCTCAATTCAGTTCAGAATGGAGTTCAGTAATGTTTAAAACACAGATCAGCAAACGTTTTCTACAAAGGACTAAATAGCAAATATTTTAGGCTGTGCAGACCATATGGTCTCTATCCCAACTACTCAATTCTGTTGTAGTGCAAAGCAGTCGCTGACAATACATAAATGAATGAGTGTGGCTATGTTCCAATAAAACTTTATTTATGGACACTGAAATTTGAACTTCATGTAATTTTTATGTGGCATAAAATAATATTCTCTTTTGATTCTTTCCAAACATTAAAAAAGAGATGAAAACCGAGTTTTCCTTACAGGCTGTAGAACAACAGGCAGGCAGCCAGCTTTGGCCCATAGACTACTGCCAACTCCTGATTTAGAATACAATCTTCCCGACATCCCTGTGAGGAAACTGGGTAATACCATCCTCCCCATTTTGCACATTAGAACCCAAAGAGGCTTTAGAGTTTATACAGTTTAGTTTCCTCCTCCTCCACCTCCCCTCCACTGTACAGATGGGATTTGGGTGCACAGAGGAAAAATGCCTGGTTTCAGGCTACCTCTTGATTGAAGTCTTACCTACCTTCCTCCATTCGATTCCAAAAACAAAAATTTAAAACTATATCCACAGCCACAAAATCCTTCTGCCACATTCTCATCTCATCAGCAGTTAATTATTTTTTTTAATATCCTAAAGGAATTTGTTCTAATAAACCACCTTCAAATTAAGGACTCACTAAGCTCAGGTCTTGATATTTAATTGGTATCATTAAAACCTGTACAATGCAATTAACTGACAATTGCATTGTAAATTTGAGAGAACTAGACTATATGCTGATCTCCTCCAGCTCAAGAAAATCGTAATCACTCCTTAAGAAAATTAATAATAATTCCATAATAACATCTGGTATTCAGTATGTATTTAAATGTCTCTCAGTTCCCAAGAATGTCTTCCAAAGCTGTTTTTTTGTGGGGTTTTTTTTCCCATGCAGGATCCAATCTAGATTGCTAAATTGCTTTTAGTTGCTGTGTCTCTTCAGACTCTTTTAGTCCAGGACAGGGGTCAACGAACTATGGCCCATGGGCCATATCTGGCCTACCACCTGCTTCTGCAAATAGGCTTTTGCTGGAAATCACCATGATCTGTGATTTATGTGCATGGTAGTTACTATGCCCTTTGAGAGTTGAGTAGCTACAAGAGACTGTATGGCTCATGAAGCCTAAAATATTGACTACCTGGCCCTTCGTAGAAAAAGTTTACTGATCTATGACCTAAAACTATCCTCTCACCTTTATTTTTAATATAATACTGACTGTTCAAAGCATCCACAACTAGTGCTTATAAAACCCTCTTCTCTTAGATTGGTCTGATTATATACATTTACGTATTAAATGTATTGAAATTCATGTACTGTATATATCTATTTAAAAATATAAAATGCTTAGGACATTATCAGTGCTCCACAGGGCAGCATTAAACAACTTTTTATGTGTCAAAATTATAAATGAAATTGAAAGGCAAACAACACATTGGAAAATAATTACAATTCTAGGATCTTGTTCCTCTTCAGACTTTATTTTCCCGAAAGGAGAGAAAAAAAACATAATGTTTAACATACGGTAGTTTTAGTTATAACTGGAGGTAAAGCCCTTACTGATCAAGTTTCTTATCATTTAAGTAGAGAAATTAGTAGGAAAACCATGGGCCCCCTTTAGAAAACTACAGTATACCGGAGGTGCCCCCAAAATATATCCACATGACTTGTATTCATCTTTTGTTATCGGTATATATTGAGTATTACAATTTTAATACAATTTCTTCCTTTCTTAAAATATGTATACATTTTTTGGCACCCCTGTATAATTTCAAATACATGCACCAGAGTACAGGAATTCAGATAGATACACAAGAGTGTCAGCATTCAGAATGCCGGGCCATGTGCTTAGCAATATGCCTGATATACAGAAAGCTCTAAATAAATGTTCATGGGATGAATGAATAAATGAATACCATTCCTTTACACAGCTGGGCAAGGCAGACTGTCATGAAAATATTCACACCTATTTATTAAACAGTGATAATGATGATGATGATTTTTGTATTACAAGCATACACATCCTAGTAGAGGTTTGGCCTGTTATTGTTCTGTTGGGAGCTCAGGCATGTACATTGAAATAGGATTCAGTTAGCTTGGAATGTGATCTTAACATCAGGAAATGCAGTGCATTGGTTTTATGCATGTGGTTATATGGAAACTGTCCAGCCTCTCCTGCTGGGTAACCTAGGTCAGGCTCTAATGAATAATAGTACCTTCTCCTCCTATGCTTTGGACACAGTATGTCTATTCTACTAATGACGTAAGACATTACATCACATAAGTGAAACATAAATCACAATGAAAGAAAGCACTGCTCACCGATTTTGTCAGTTATATAATATGGCGGAGGCGGTGTAAAGTATAATTCCTCACCACTTCCTTAGAATGCCATTTAACCTATTAAAAAAAAATTGTACCTCCCCAAAACCATAATATATATTTCACAATAATCTTTAGGAAAAAAGTTAATAGTCATTTACTCTATAGCACAGCTCATATATAGGGCACTGAAGAGAGAGCTGTTGGTGAGAAATAAGGCTGAAGGTTTAAAGAATTCCGGGTCGGTTCTTGAGCAGTGGATCTTTTTCTCGGCTTCCAGGGAAGAACTTGACCTTCGCATGGTTGAGCAAAACATTCAGGCCTTGGCCTCTGAAACCAGTACTCTTTCCTATCGGTTTATATTCCTTGTGTTTTCTGAAAGCAATGTGTTAGATGGATTAAAAAAGGATCTCCAGCTGGAATATGTTGCTTCCTACAATCTTTTACATACCCAGTGCAGAGGGCAAACAACAAATTGATTAATTCCATTTAACCTACTATACTGCTTTTAACACACTGATATCTTATGGAAATACATTTATTTTCTCTTCTTCATGCAAGAAATGTGCCTGTTTATTATAATTTGAGGTTATTTGTTAAATATTATGCTGACTCAATTTTGTAAAGTTACTGACATCTGGTAGCGTTTTTAGGATTTCAAGAAACCACAGTAAAATCAACAGGCGAGTTTGGTATTCGTCATTCAATGGAAGCTTTTCCTTCCCTCACACAAAATGGTTAAAAGCCAAAAAGGGGCATGGCCCATTTGTGCAGCATATTGCTGTTTATTTCTGACAATATACTATAGTAATTTAAAGTATTAGAACCAGCAACTTACTTATACCCCCAAAGGGCGATCCCGATGACAAATATAGCCAAGCAACCAACAGAGACCAGGGCACCATTTGCCATTCTTACAGGGGAGCCTGCATCTTAAAATAGAAGAAAGACCATATTAGTGACATCTTCCACCTAGAGGACGTGCTGCTTGTAATGCAATTAAATAAATGAGGGAGGAAGCTTTCAGAAGATACATGGCTCCCTCTGGGCTTTCAGTAATCTTTTCCATTAAATAATACATAGTCTTTGAGTCAGTTTATCTTCCATTTAGAGAATGAGTCAGCACATCTGGAACACTGTGTTAAGGGCTCAGGAGAGAGATGTCATGTCCTGGAGACATCTGCTGAGGCCTCCGCTGACCCAGCAGCACCCATGTGGTGAAGCGATCGGTGATCCGGCTGCCCACTCCTCTGGCCTCATCTCCAACTACCTACCTTCCAGCTGTTGCTAAAAATCCTGGGAGTTGCCCATCCTCCCTCTCTTCTTTCAAATCTCCATGGCTTCTGCCGGGAATGTCCTTCCCTTGGCTCATCGCAAGTGTCTCCCCCCTCGGGACGCCTTCCAGACGTTCATGACACAGCAGGTCACCCCTTCCTTTCTCACTACTCTACTTGCCTCCCTTCATCTGCCTCAATCACATTGTGTTGCAATTGCTTCCTCACACGTATTTCTCTCGTGCTAGAGTGTGAGAACCATAAAGCAAGGGTGATGTCTTCCTCTGTACTCCTGGAACCCAGCAAATCAACTAACCTTGACTCCACCTCCAAAGTCTAACTGGAATTTGTTTTTCCTCCATCTCCTCTGCCACCATTGCAGTCCCAGCCTCCAGCCCCTCTCCCCTGAGAAGACCTCTTAATTGTTTACCTGCTTCCAGTTATTATTATTTTTTCAATTACAGTTGGCATTCAATTTTATATTAGTTTCAGGGGTACAGCACAGTGGTTGGATGTTTATATAACTTACGAAGTGATCCCCCCAGTAAGTCCAGTACTCACCTGGCACCATACATAATCATTACAATATTATTGACTATATTCCCTAAGCTGTACTTTATATCCCCACGACTATTTTGTAAATATCAATTTGTACTTCTTAATCCCTTTACCTTTTTAACCAGACCCCCAATTCCACCATCCCTGCAATCTGGCAACCATCAAAATGTTCTCTGCATCTATGAGTTTCTGTTTTGTTTGGTCGCTTATTTTATTTTTTTTAGATTCGACCTATAAGTGAGATCATACAGTATTTGTCTGACTTATTTCATTTAGCATAATACCCTCTAGGTCCATCCATGTTGTCGCAAATGGTAAGATTTCATTCGTTTTTATGGCTGAGTTATATTCCAGTGTATATTTGTACCACATCTTCTTTATCTAATTGGCTATCAATGGGCACTTAGGTTGTTTCCCTATCTTGACTGCTCATTCTTGAAATTCAAGTCTCAGTTTAGAGAAGGCCCTTCACTAAGCTGGTGCTGCTGGGTTGGCAGGACTCCCCCTGACCTCCCAATCTATAGGGCCAGCCTTTGTCCCCTCCCCCCCATGCCAGCTACTCTCCATGCCCTGACCTTGTTTTATGTTCTTCACAGTGTCATCTTATTTCTTTATTGTCTATTTCTGCTCCTAAAAGCAGGGGTCTTCTTCATCTTGCCCCCCACTCTATCTAGAACTGTGTACCTTGTGTCTAGAGCTGTGCAGGGCACACAGTAGATGATGAATATTTGTTCAAAGAATTGCAGGGGCTTCCTGCATGTTCACTGAATCCATGAAAAAAATCAATGAATAAGACAATGAATTTTTATTCATGAACCCATTTCAGCTAAAAGTCTATGGGTTTGTCTTTGAACAATGACCTCATTTCTGAAATTCTGACTCTGAAATCTGAGTCATCAAGTTGCATTGGTCCCTGGATTAAAAGCTCTCCTTCTGAACTTCCTTTATTTGAATTTTGAAAATGGCTCAGGTCACCCCTCAAGTTATCGCTCGCTACAAGGAGAATGAAAGGAGGGCACATATCTAGACATCTAATCCAGACAAGAGACCCGTGGTTTGCCAGCAGCCAGGAAGCTTCACAGCAAGTTTATGACTCCAAAGGCAATTCTAAAATAACTGTTAGCAGCACAAGAGCAATCGTGCAGCAGCTCCGGGAGGTGACAGCGTTGAAGATCCAAGCTCACCTGGGTGGGTACAGAGGCGACAGCCTGCCTCCTTCCGCCCTGGAGACGTCCACCCAAGGCCCGCCCTCCAGGAAGCAGGGGGCTTCGGTATTCCTGTTTTGTTGTTGCTGTTTTTAAATCTACACCTTGGATCTTACCAACAATAAGCCCTCATACAAATAATTATATGTGTGATTACTTAGGCTTTTCTTTCAACAAGGTTAAAGCTGCCTTTTATCTTGTTAACAGGTAACTATATGTTTAAGTACATTTTACCTTATGAAGTCCAAAGCAGTTATCTGTGAATTAGTCATCAGACTGTACCTGACAATCCTCAAATTAAGGAGCAAACTAAGTGCTGTAACATGTGTGCAGTTTAATCTCTCCCTTCCATCCCACCATGTAGTAAGAGATAAAGCAGTGACTCACAATAAAGTTGGTTATAAGTAAAATCCACTTAGGGTCACCAGATCCTGTCCTGATTTTGAGGATGGGGAACACTGGAAGCCACAGCAAATGAAAATGTTTTCAAGAAAAATTTTTAGGCCACTTTGTTAACATTTTGTTAACATCTCCAAGCATCAGGAGGGTAAAGCTTAGTTTTTCTGGTGAACATCTGAGAATAGGTCAGTTGGTTTGGTACAGTCTCAGTGTAATGCTTGGTAGAATATGGGAAGGGACAGACAGGACACACGGCCAGTTAGAGGGGAGCCAGGGGTCCCCCTGGTTTCTCATTTCTCTTCTTGTCTTCATACCTTGTCTTGGGTGGATTCTAATGACAACAGGATACCAGCCTACCCTTTGTTATAGTTTCGTTGGAGAACATTGTTACTTTTGATGTTGAGCTTTACACTTCCCCCTCAAGATACAACTCTACTTGAGCATGAAATGATCATATCCTGTTATTACTGCTCCATGATCACAGCTGATTTTTTTCATCAAATGGCTTTTCTTTGGCCACTATTTTACTTGGTGACTCTCTCTCTCTCTCTCTCTCTCATCCCTTCCCCAAGTATTGGGTTGTCGGAAAAGTCACGATGCATTTTTGCAACAAGAAACATAGAAAAAATACGTCATGACTTTTCCGACAACCCAATAGCTTCGCTGTTGGATTTTAATGCCAGTTCTCAAATCCACATTAACAATAGTTCAATGAGTTTTGCAGTGAAATGAAATCAAACATTGGTAATGGAGCTCGGAATAGTTTTAGTATTGAAGACAACGCCCTTGATCTGCATTATGAAATGCTTGTACAACCATAAAACAAAACTTACCTCTGCCGGAGACAGAGACCAGGGTGCTCGTGAGGGCCAGGCTCACATCATCCCCCAGAGTGAGGTTCATGCAGTACGTCCCAGACCCGTTGAAGGCTCGCCTCACAGTCAGTAAGCACGGATCGCCCACGTCCACATCCACAGGGCTGCAGGCAGTGTTCTGGGCGATCTGGCAGCTGGGGTCAGAAATTACGGTACAGACCTCTGTGGGAATGCTGAGGGCACAGATGGCACCAGGAGGGGGAGAAAAGAATGCAGTCATTTTAAAGGGAAAAATCATTACAGTTCTATAAATTTAAATTCCACCTTATTTTTATGCAAACCATATGATGTGGAATAGTTACACATCATTTACCCTTAAACAAGTCAGGTGTGAGCTACTGTTTCTGCTGTACCCTCCCGAAGGTGAGACCCTGGAGGTAGAGGGGGAAGAAATTTTCAAGGCAAGGGGCTCTTGGAAATGGTGTGAAGCCCAAGTCACTCCCTCTATCTTTTGGCTCCCTAGAACGGTCAAAGAGGCAGACGGCTCAGGTATTAGACAAAGGTGTTATTAAATTCCAGAGCTGGCCCTGCCTGGGTCCCTGAGAGATATAACAACAGCAGCAATGACAGCTGATTAGGTTGTATTTACTGTGCGCAGGGCACTGAGTTTTACCTATATGATGTGGTCTTGTCCATTCCTCTCAATGACTTGAAAGTAATATGATCCCAGTGTAACAGGAGACAAACCAGTTTGGGGAGGGGAAATAAGTGGCCCAAGGTCACACGAGCAGGTAGGGGTGAAGCTGGGACTTGAACAAAAGATGTTTGACAACTGGCCTTGTAACCACTAGGCTACCTGGCCATGCATTACTGTCATAGCCATTGTTTCACTTCCGAGTAGACTTCCTGGAGGGAGAGACCAAGCTCTGATCTGGTCTGAGGAGGGCACACCCTGGCCTCTTGCAGAGGCTTCTCTCCTTTAGTCAGGTTTTCCCTCTAGTGTCTGTCATCCTCACTTCTGTCACTCCTCTCCCCAAGCTGAAGAACTTCTTAGCTACCCCTTTTTACCAAATAAGGCCACATTTTTTATACCTTCCCATGCTCTTAATTAATGTATACATTTACATGCACATATATTTTAATTACTTGATTTACATATATGTGAATCAGTTAATTCATTAACATATTTAATTAGTTCATTGATATGGTACATATATGAATTAATATATATTTAGTCTATTATCTATAGTTATAACCAAACCATAGAAGTCAAATTAGCTAGTGCAAAGAGCTTTGTAAATTATAAAGAGAGACAGAATTATCAGGCATTGCTATTAATTAATGCCAGGACACAGCCACGCCATACTGGCCTCCTGCCACTCCAGGGGAGCCTCAGGGAGCTTAAGAGTGGGGTTTTGGGACCGGCCAAGTGGCTCAGTTGGTTAAGAGCTCGCTCAAGAGTGCGAGCTCTGAGCAACAGCAGTTCGAGTCCTGGCCCGAGCTGAGCTGCCGCTGAGCTGCCAACAGGTGGCAGGATGGCTCAGTTAAAAAACAAACAAAAAAAGTGGGGTTTTGAGCCAGACCTTGCCCTGTGAATCGTGCTCTGCTGGGTACCCACTGCCTATGGAGGCAAATTCTATAATTACCGTGGCCTCCATCTGTAAACTGAGGAGGCTCATAGGATTGTGTGAGGATTCAATACAAGAACAGATGTAAAATGTTAAGAACATAGTAAGTGTTCAATCACAAATTATTATTCAAACTCCACCAATAATGAAAAGGAATGAGCATTGCTCAACTCTAGCAAAGCAAGCGCGTGCTTGAGAGTTCCTGGTAGGGTCCTTCCTTGTCCTGGCTCACTGATGAACTAGGAATTTAAATCCACGCAGAAGGGAGGCCTCAGGTCAAGGCCTCTGTTCAGGCCTGCGGTCCTCGCTTGGCCCTTTCCTCTGACTGAGAAGATGTACTCACGTCCCTTGGCAGGTCACGACAAAATCCATCAGGGAGTCGTCAGGCTGTGGCGTGTGCATCTGAACGCCTGACATCCGAATGATGTTAACCTCTAGAATTCCCTCTAACAAAACAACCCCCATAGAAAAACACATCAAAATACAATGGAGACCAAACCAAATCAAACCACACCTTAACAAACCAGGAGGCCAAACAAAATGGACACGGCCTTCTTGCCACACGAGAAACACACCCGATCCGAAAATCTATCCCATAGCATCGGAGGCATGTGCGTGCAGCATTTTCAAAGTCAAACTGAACTGTTCTTCGACTTAGCTCTTTATTCCTGGAGTCTGTATATATGTTAGAAGGCAGCGCTCTCTCTGGGCAGGTGTTTCAGGTAAAAGTGGCCCTGGGAGGACACAGCCCCCAGGCTCAGGCCTTGGCCAGCTCCTCTTAGCAGAGGTGGCTCAGTCCCAGGGGGCACAGCATAAGTTTTAGTCCCCACCCCCAGAACTGGGGTGCATAGCAAGGGCTCCAGCCCCCACCTGTCTTCTCTGTTGGGCACCTTTGGGCTGTGCCCAGACACACAGCCAGCCAAGTACGGTAGCCCTGTTCATCCCTGCTTCTTACACGCCATAAGTGTGACTTTGTGAAATTAGCTAGGGGAAGAAAGTGGGAGTTGTGGGAACTTGTTACTGGCCCTCCTTCAAGGCACATTCATTCAGATTTCTGGGATGCAAAGGGTGGGGGATGCAGTCCCAGGTAGGCTCATTAGTAGGTGGGCCTCATGGAGGGCTCATTTCCATCAGGATGTCTAAGGAAGGCTGGAGTAGGCAGGTGGGTATCTAGAAACTAGGAGCCTATGCTCGTGCATATGTGGCCTTGGGCAGACAGTGGGTGCCCCTGCTCCCCACCCCCGCCCCTTCAGAGTCAGCGATATGAGTGGGTGGCCCGAGGTAGATTCTAACCTCCTTTCCCTGCTGGTCTTACCTACAATTGTGATAGGGGCTTTAAAGTAACCGTCTCTGGTAATCTTGCAGTCTTCACCGAGTATCTCCCTCAGCTCCAGCGGGTTGGCACCAGCAGGAACTGGAGAGTTTGAATAAGAAGATTTTAGATTAGTTGCTGGGAATGTAAAAGATGCACATGTTGTAACCAACAATCTAAACATCTTTCTACCCACTTTCAAAAAAACATCAAGAATCCTACACTATTAAATTGCTGCAGTAATTTGAACTGAATATGTGATGATTCACATAGATGCAGGAACTTTAAGGCATTATAATTGTTTAATTATGTAAGTAAACACAACCCCATATCTTGTTTAAACATAAGAAGCAAATGAAAGGTCGGAGTCATATTCAAATGTGTGATGCAACAATCATAAGGAAACTAAACAGGCCGCAAGAGATAAAGTCATATTTTAATTTTGGAGGCAGGTATTCTGGGCTCAAATTCCAGGTCCCTTGATTTTAGCTGTTTGAAATGATGAGCATATAAGTTAGCCTCTGTTTGCCTGAATTTACTCATCTGTAAAACAGGAATAATGCTTCCTGACCTAGTAAGGTTGAGCTATAAAACTTAAATGAGATAAAGTATATAAAACCTGCTTCTCATGCCAGAAGTACTTAATAAATATCAGTTTCCTTGTCCTAACATGTACTTCTAGATGTCTATTTAGACATGGATATGATATAACATATATAAGATGTATAGTTTAAAATGTAAGGTTGGTGTATAATAGATTAAGAAGCAAGCAACATGGAAAAAGGCAATTCTTTCCTTATTTGGATGTCTCATACCTCCAAAGCTTACATTCCAAAAGTCTCACAGTTAATGATGAGCTGAGGCATGGGGAAGGAAAGAAGTGAATACAAGACACTTTAGAAAAATAACCCTTTGAGTATGAATACAGCAAAGAATTTAAAATCTGTACACCTGAAACAAACACAATTTTACCTCAATTCAAAAAAATAGTGGGCCGGCCGAGTGGTGCGATGGTTAAGAACTGGCCTGAGACACCAGAGGGCCCCGGTTCGAATCCCACATATGAGGGCCAGTGACACTGCCCTCTACAGCTAAGATGTTGAACAACAGCTCAACCTGGAGCTGGGCTGCCGGGAGTCGCCGGCGACAGCGTGGGCTGCAGCCCTTGTGGCTGTGGCAGTGGGTTGCCATGGGCTACCGTATGTAGCCAGCAGCCGCTGTGAGTGGCTGTCCAGAAGCCGGCGACTGATCTGCCTCACCCAGGAAGAGCGCAATGATGGTGCAAACTTGGGCCAGTGAAGCAACGTCCTCCACAACTAGACTGAAGAACAAAAGGACAGCAACTTATCTGTTCCCATCCCCCCAATTCCCCAATAAAAAAATCTTAAAAAAAAAAAGTTACAATTTTAAAAGCTCTAACTAATTAAGGTGTTAGTATTCCTTTCAAACAAGATTAAAAAACTGGGAATAAAACACACAGAAAAGACAATGGTATCTTCTCTTGAATTGCAAAAGGCATGAAAATGGACTCAGTTTGGAGGGAAGGGCATTAAAGCTTCCTAAGGACTGCATCTCTAGTGGCATGTAAATATGAAGCCAGTGGGGGATTTCTTCAGGGTTTCTCAGAGCCTTTAGTGGTTGAATGAATGTGCCCTATGATGCTCTTCACCCAGAGGGGCCTTCTTAGAGCAGTTCTCAGAGCATCTCTGGAAGCAAGTGTTCCATGGTACACACTTTGGGAAATGCTGCTTGGGTAAAGCCCCAAAGCGTTCTGACACTGTGTTGGATTCAAATGCAGTGGCTTATCAGCAGGCTTGGCTATAGCAGCACTTGGAAATGTCCCCTAAGTCTCACAGAGGTCCTTTGAAATTTACAGGGTAATCATTGATTCTGTCCTGAGATTTAAATGATGTGCTCTGTAGTAACAGATTTGTTTGTGCAAGGTATCAAAGATGGTTGGCTGTTCCCAGAAAACTAGAAAACTTCTTTTGAAGTTCTTGACAGGCAGAATTTAGCTGTCAAGTTAGAGCATGGAATCATGACTCTGCCATATTTTAAAATACACTTCTTCAAAAAAAAAAAAAGGGCCAAATAATAAGTCAATTCTACCTCAGGTAGAATGCTTATAAAAACACTTATGGAATTTTACAGATATATCTAGTCAAGTGTACATCTATATTTCTATATCTATAAAATCAAAGTATGATTAAAGGGCTAAAGGAGAAAGACTAACACCTTAAAAGAAGGAATAGAAGGCAAATCGTATGCTCAATTTACTACTTCTGTTCCTATTACCCAGAGAATGGTGTGAGAGCCCTGATTCTTCGGGAAATTTCAACATGATATAAAATTTCAACCCAAGCCTATTAATATGATCTGAATAACTAAGAAATCTTCTCTTTTTAGAGAACAAATACCTTACCTCATCCCCCTTTTTCAAGTCATGGGCTGACTCTTATAATCACCTTGGGCCCCATTACTTATTCCCACCCACCCCCTTTCCCCAACTCTCAGAGCTGCTATAAGGCATTTTGGGGTTAATTATGATTGATTTAACACCTTTAGATAAAGCCAGACAACTTCTCTTCACTACAAAACTTAACTCATAAGGTTACTGCTTTATATCTTATGGTATAACCTATGGAAAATAATAACAGAAATTTAAAGTACCCTTTCCTTGACTTAAAATACACTTTATATGTTATTTTATAAATAGGTTCTAAGAAAAACAAACTACCTCAATAAAAAGGCAATTCAAAATAGACTAACATTAAGCAACTGAAGATTAAGCCCCATACCATTCAGGAATTTCTAGACAGTTCTAAATATTACAGGCATCTGTAATTAATTTTGAATTTTACACCTGGTCCCCTTATTTGTAAGGAAGATTGTCAATACTTATAGACAAAGAAATTAATTCTTCTACAGAAATACCACAACAAAGCTATATGTTTAGAGCTGTTCAGTTCAGGGTAGGATTAACCTAATTGTCCATCAGTAAGAGAGTGGTTAAAAAATTATAGTTTAGAGCCGGCCAATGGCGCGATGGTTAAGAGCTGGCTTGGGACCCCAGAGGGCCCTGGTTCGGATCCCACATATGAGGGCCAGTGACACTGCCGTCCACAGCTAAGATGCTGAACAACAGCTCAACCTGGAGCTGGGCTGCCGTGAGTCGCCCGCGATGGCGAAGGCTGCAGCCTATGCTGCAGTGGGTTGCCATGGGCTACCGTGTGTAGCCAGCAGCCAGTGTGAGCGGCCAGCAGCCGCAGTGAGCATCCAGCTGTCCAGAAGCTGGCGACTATCTGCCTCGCCCGGGAAGAGCGCAATGATGATGCCAACTTGGGCCAGTGAAACAACGTCCTCCACAACTAGACTGAAGAACAAAATGACAGCAACTTGTCTGTTTCCCTTCCTCCAATTCCCCAGCACTGTTCCCATCCCCTAATACCCCAATACAAATCTTAAAAAAAAAAATTATAGTTTATATATACTATGGAACACTATGTAGTCATTGAATAAAGTGAGTTACATTTACATGTACTGATAAATGGAAATATGTCTATGATATTTAAGTGAAAAAAAGCAAATTCTAGAACAATATATATAGCATGAACCCATTTACATAAAAATCAAAATAATGAAAACCCTATGTGTATTTATGAAATGTGTTTCTAAATGCATAGAAAATGATTTGAGAAGAAACACTCCCAACTATTAACAGGATGTACCTCTTGTGAGGAGAGTGTGAATAGGAACTTTCACTTTTATTCGTGATTTCTATATGTGAATTTTTTATTAAGGAGCATGCATTAATTTTGTAATTTTAAAACATTTCAAAAAAGAATTAATCAAAATCAGTAACAAATTATAGTGTCTTGATTTATATATTCTTGACTTAACAACTCATTTTATTAATAACACACTATTAAGACAGTTTATTGTTTATAACAGGTTTTGGTAAAGACAATTGCAACAAGTCTGAATGTCATGATGCAGTGTTCCCTCTAGGCTTGGTGATGGCACCCTCTTGTGACCACTGAGAGGATGTCAGCCTATAACTGTCTCCAGGATCCTGGGGTGCTAAGATGATTTAAGGCTTTGTGGGCAAGGGTGGGGAAGCAGATGGGAGCTAACACTTCCCGAAGTAGACTCTTAAGAACTTTCTGAGTGTCCTCGTAGACTATTACTAGAGGCTCGGATTGAATTAATTATGCCTTCCATCCACAACAATTTTAATGTCTGCAATCTTTCCAGCTTGGTAGCCAAGAAATATTCTCAAGGCGTATTCTTTTGGGGCCATTTGGGAACTACTCTTAAGTATTGCTGTGTTTTCATGGGACATTAGGTGGGTGTGGGCAAGGCAGGGGGGAGAGTGAAAGTGGGGAGAAGAGCGGGAGGGGGAGAAAGGAAAGTGGGATGGCCGGAATGTGTATAAGGAGCCAGTACGTCTTCTCATAGACACACACACACACACACACACACACACACACACACACAAATAAGGCAGACAAACAGAATGTGATGGGCTAGAAGGGAGAAAGCATCTGTATATAAAACAAGGGCCAGTAAAAGTGAGGAACGTCCAAGAGCTGTGTAACAGTCGCCAAATTCGACTTGCAAAGTGACTTTAGACGTATTCTTCTTTCTTCCATAGTCTAACAGCTTAAAATGGTGGTAAAATGGCTTTAAAAATCAACAGGTACAAAATAGAATCGTTGCAGAGTCTGTACGCAACTTTTTAAACTAGGGATCTAAAAATGTCACCTATGTGAATTTTTTTTAGAGGTTAAAGACCACCCCACTCCCACCCCACCCCGCAAAGATCACCCGGAAAACACTTACATAAAGGAGGGGTAGGTTTTGGAGGTCTGGGTGTAGGTGAAGGACAAGGTCCAGGCACTGCAGTTTGCACAGTGAGGTTAAAGCTGAAGTTTCCATTGAGCACATACGTGTGATTCAAAATGTGATTGTTGGAAACAATCAGACCAGTTTTGTCCCCGAAGTCCCACTTGTAGTAAATGGCAGACTCATTGAGGAAGTGGCTGGGATCATGAATGAGGACATTGAATGTAACGGGGAGGTCCCTAAGGAAGGTCTCGTCAGAAGAATATCGATCATTCTTCTGGGATATATTCACAGATACAGGAATCTGATCTAGAAGATACAAACAACAACAACAACAAAAATGCATGATTGCTTGATTACGAGTGGATGACTTCAAAAACGCTTTTAGGCTAAACATTTTCATTAAGGATAATTCAGCATCATTTTTCCCTTCCCTATGCAAATTTTCCAGAGTTGCCCTAAGTTATTCTGGAAAACCAAGGGAATTCATCATTCAAGTTTGAGAAGCAGTCCAGGTAAATTGTAACCTAACCCAGAACACTTGGCTCTAACTCTTCCTCCACCCAGTACCATCACCAGAACTAAGTGCCACCTGCAGTTAATTTAGAGTTCACACCACCCACCTGTTACCAGGTACACAACTTTCGCTTTTGCAAGGGGAACATGTGTCCTCCGATTTCTTCCATAGACGGCCACTTCCATGAGTTGAGGACCAAGCTTCACATTAGCTGTGTTCATCGACACATTCTCTGAACACCGCCCCAGTTTCTGGAAATACTGACCTTTGAGAGATTGGAAATATTTAGGTATTGGTTACATTACATGATCATTATAGGAAGTTGTTTCTTAAAGACTAGTGACTGCCATTTAGAGTTTGCTCTGAGGAAAGGAAAAACAGGATGGGCTGCTTCCGAAAGGAAGATGGTGCTCATTTTTATGTAAAACCTTATAAAACAAACCCACAGTTAAATGTATTTGTGTATAGTTGGTTAAAGTGAACAGAGCTGCCTAGTGGCATAATACAATCATTACAAATAAATATACTTTTTATAAGTAACCTGGCACTTGAAATACATGCATTTTCCACAGAAAATACATTGAATGTAATGGTGCGGTATCCAGTGGAGCTTAAAAAATTTATTTAAAAATCTACGTTATTTTTATAACAATATTACTATTTCAGCTATATTATTAAGCAGCTTTTTCTTTTTTTAGGAGACTAGAATCCTCCACTTTTAAACAGTATGCATATATAAATATGCAGTAAGTGATGAACGCTATGGTGGGAATAAAAAAGAATGGAGTGGTTCCATAAACACATTTCTAGGATACTTTGGCCATTCTTTTTCTTCCTCCAACCCTAACCTAAATTGAACTGCCACTGTCTGGCTAGTGAAAGGAATTCCTCTCCTTTGGTGCTCAAGGACTTTTCTAATCCTATTGAGGCACCGGTATAGACGTGTCATTGGAACAACAGGTGTTGCAAGATAGATACTTGTGAGATGGGGCTGTTTATTGAGCTTGTTTGTCACATGGTAAAAGGTGTCAGCAGAACACACTGGTCTTCTAAGGGGTGTGTAATTTGGAATCGCCCTTTACTTTGAAATGTCGAGGCAGTTCTGATGAAGGTTGTTGGAGGGAAGAGGTGTCTCTCAGGGAGTTAGTTTTAAATGAGGAACATGTTAGTCCTGGCACTGACAGACAGGCCACAGAGGCAATGCTTAGTTGAGGGAGAATCCCAGTTAGTTCTAAGACCTCAGCAGAAGATGGAAATTCAAAACAGTCTTGTTACAAAAACAGAGCAATTTCTGGCTGAAAGCTGATTTTCAATAAAGACATCCTAGCTCACAGTTAAGCTGATGGATGTTCATTAGTCTAACAAGAGCCTGGAGTGTCAGTGAGCATCCGTGGCTCCATGCAAACTGTCAGGTCAAAGAAATCGTGACATTTGGTGAGTTAACTGACAAGAACATGAAGGCATTAAAAAAAAGCCAGCTTTCAAGCAACCGATTTAACTAGATGGGCATAATATTTGAATACATTTTGTATTTCATTCAGTTGGAATGTATTATTAATATTTTGTTTTGGCTTGTAAATAAGTTAATTGGAGAAAGAGGAGCTTTCTCTAATGTACAAAGAAAAACATTTAGAAATTTGGAGGCTGCATGACTGGTAGCAGTTTTCAAATACTCAGAGCCAGGTGGTACCTGGTGACATTTTAGACTAATAACTTAGCAGCTTTGCTATTAATAACTTAAATTTGCTCCTCCTAAAAATAATCATGTCACCAGCAATAAAGCAAAGTGGATACCATTTGTGGTTAAAAAAAGAAAAAGAGGGTAGGTTATGTCAAAGAAGAACAGTGCTTAGATTATGCTATTTCTACACATTATGCAGTCACTAAAATAATGTATATAAAGAATTTTAATGATATAGTAAAAAATATTAAGAAAAAAATCTGTGTGTACATTATAATCCTAATCAAGAGACACTAGTAAAGAAAATACCACCGCATTAACAGTGATAACCTCTGGTGTTAATTATTTTTCATTTGTACTTTTCTGAATTTTCCAAATTTCCTAAAAAAAAAACAGGTTTCTTTAATTCTTAGAAATTCATTTTTGACAATATGAAAATTAAAGAATAAATCAACTGATGCCCATCTGAGTGCCACTCAAATAAATAAATATTAATATTTTTTGTATTACTGTTACAGACAGAAAAGATTGAGTAGTTTTGTTTTAAAAAAGAAAGATGGATCTATTTTTTCCCCTCTTTTTAATTCTTTGGTGTCCTGGAGGTTTGGCAAGGCTATCCAAGGTTTTATTTTTATCCCTCACCCTCCATCCCAGTTAAGGAAAGTAGAAGAGTTAACAGATGAACTATTATTATTAAACTCTCAGTATTATAATTCTCAATGACAGAATAAGAGAAAAAAATTAATTTTAAGGAAAGGTAAAGACAAAGATAAGGAGGTTCGTAAAAGTCCAACCAAGTGTGTGAAACACATATATGAAGTTCCCTTTCCTCCGTCCATGGTGGTGAGGGAAAGGCCTTCCGTCAGGGAACACATTGTAATGGTTTTGGTTGGTGCCGTTTTCCAAGTCACCATCCTCTATCCACTCTGTCCAGTTGTAAACATATGGGTCAGGAGAGGAACCTATATCTAAATAGAGAGAGAAACAAGCCATGATTGTCATCTGGACCCAGAATGCACAATGCCCATCATTGAACTAAACACTTTTTCATACTTTTTTTATAACCAATTTAAATAGAGTTGGACAACTAAATCCCTAATGGTCAGAATTCATCCAATGGTATACATCTATGACCTGTGCATTTTTCTGCATATATGTTCTATTTCAATAAGTTTTATAGAAAGCAATTACTCATGGAAGTTCAATCTAGAGATATCACTTAATATATTTTAACTTCATATTGGGTCACCAAATCACAACTGTATTCAAGCCAAACTGAGGGATACTTTATCTTTTTATTTGGACACACTCCATCTGCAGCTTTTTTTCCTGACTCACTTGACACCATGACTCTCCACTCCGAAAGACTTCAGCACACATCTCCTAAGAATAAGGGTATTCTACGTAAACACATCATTACCACCCCTACCACAGTAATCAAGGGTCACACACTACATTTGGCTATTTTGTTTCAGAAAGAAAGAAAGGGAGGGGGAGAGGGAGGGAGAGGGAGGAAGGAAGGAAGAAAAAAGGAAAGAAAGAAATAAGGAGGAAGGGAGGGAGAGAGGGAGGGAGAGAAGGAGAGAGAGACAGAGAGAGAGAGAGAGAAGAGCAAATATGGCAAAATGTTTCAATTGTTGAAGCTAGGTAAGGGGTATTTGGGTGCTCAATGCACCCTCCTTTCTACTTTTCTGTTTGTTTGACATTTTTCATTTTAAACAAGTCATGATCAACATCTTTTCACCTAGAAAAACCTCATCACCCTCTTGGTTTTTGTTTGTTGTTTTGTTTTGTTTTTTTATGTCACTGACATTTATGAAGAGCCTTTTTATTTATCAATCAATTAAAGCCATTTATATTTTTTATTCTTTTATTTTTTTTTTAAAGATTTTAATTGGGTAATTGGGGGGATGGGAACAGTGCTGGGGAATTGGGGGAAGGGGAACAGACAAGTTGCTGTCGTTCTGTTCTTCAGTCTAGTTGTGGAGGACGTTGCTTCACTGGCCCAAGTTGGCACCATCATTGCGCTCTTCCCTGGCGAGGCACATCAGTCGCCGGCTTCTG